TCCTTAATTTCTCCATTTTGATGGCTGATATTGTTATACCGGTGTACAGCCATGCCAGCCATGCTTCTAGGCATGTCAGTGTTGGTCTGTCGATCCTTTAGACTTGGGGTTAGGCTTACCGCTTACATCATTTTTCATATATAGCGCCATTTTCAAGGCAAAAATCGGTTCATAAATTTAAAAAACAGTGTTCTACCCTGGTGAACAACAAACCCCATTTCATCACCGTGTTAATATTTTAAGCGTGTTTGCATGCTGACTTTAGCGTTTAGCTCAAAGCACCAGTGTGCACAAATCCAGCCTCACAGAGCAACTAGTATGGCTGAGCTGTTAGTCTTGTTCCCATAAATTGATGTTGTGTGTCACTTACACAGTTGTCTGTTTGTGCTGTGTGCACTTTCCGAAATGGCTTCAGGTGTAGACATTCGGTTTAAGGCTGCAACAGTTTAGAGAAAAACGAACCAAACCTGACACAGGGGATCTGGTTAAAGTCCACAAGCCAGATCTTTTGCTTAAGCAACCAATAGCTCAGGCACAGGAGATCTGTCAGCATTGGAAACAATTCTAACAAGGGAGCAGGCAAAGGTAAAAAAAAAAAAAAATCCAGAAAACAAGCAAACATTCAAACACGAGGAAATGAACAACGGATGAAGCAACATGGACAATCTGGCAACTGAATGAGGAACAGCAGGGAGTATAAATAGTGGGAACAATGATTGGATGCTCAGTGACAGGTGATGCATAAAATTGGCGGGTAAACAAACAAAGGGAGGAAGTAAAACAAACTGGCATGAATGAAAGTGAGTGAATTTGAAAGGAAACTGACTTAAGCAGAAACCTCAAATGAATTTTTGCTTAGAGGATTTTTTTTTTTTTTTTTAATTAAATGCTTGGACTACAAAGGAAGTTAAAAAATAAGCGGCAAAAAAAAGTCTCTTTACAGTTTCCAAGAATGTACTGTGATATTTTAGCACTGTCCCATATTTTGCCCCTTTTCAGCAAATTAATGAAAGTCTCACGTGTGTCTTTTCAATTTTCATGTACAAAATGCTGCAAAAACGGTTAATTCCACCATGACTGTATAACCCCTGGTTTGAACCTGAGCTAAATGAGTCAATTCAGTGTCTGTAGCTTTAAATGCAGCTGAGCTATCCACACAGCTTCAGGAAGAAGACTCTCTGTGTCTGTTATTGACAATTCAGAGCAAAACGGTTGACAGCACAGCAA